AAAAAAAAAAAAAAGACACCAAGACATAAATTCTACCCAGATTATTTTAGCAAATACTATTCTCTTCATAGGTTGTCCAAGGGTTTTCTTACCAGAATACCAGAATAACTCTCTTTCTACCCCTCTGCCCCCATTTCCTCCACCACAACCCAGCAGGAAAATTTGATGTAAGGAAAAGATAAAATGGAAAAGGGATTCTAAGGTCATAGTTAAGCAACTCAATATGACACTAGAACTTCTAAGACAAAGATTTGATTACAAGTGCTGAAAAGGGCCAAAGTTTTATTAACCTAAGAACACTTGTCTGGGAATGCAAGCTGGTGCAGCCACTCTGGAAAACAGTATGGAGGTTCCTCAAAAAACTAAAAATAGAACTACCCTATGACCCAGCAATTGCACTACTAGGCATTTATCCAAGGGATACAGGTGTGCTGTTTCGAAGGGATACATGCACTCCCATTTTTATAGCAGCACTATCAACAATAGCCAAAGTATGGAAAGAGCCCAAATGTCCATCAATGGATGAATGGATAAAGAAGATGTGGTATATATATATACAATGGAGTATTACTCGGCAATCAAAAAGAATGAAATCTTACCATTTGCAACTACATGGATGGAACTGGAGGGTATTATGCTAAGTGAAATTAGTCAGAGAAAGACAAAAATGATATGACTTCACTCATATGAGGACTTCAAGAGACAAAACAGATGAACATAAGGGAAGGGAAACAAAAATAATATAAAAACAGGGAGGGAGACAAAACAAAAGAGACTCATAAATATATGGAGAACAAACTGAGGGTTACAGGAGGGGTTGTGGGAGGGAGGATGGGCTAAATGGGTAAGGGGCACTAAGGAATCTACTCCTGAAATCATTGTTTCACTATATGCTAACTAATTTGGATATAAGTTTTAAAAAATAAAAAATTAAATTAAAAAAAAAATAATAGGGGGGGAAAAAGAATACTTGTCATTTTCAGTAACTCATTTTAGAACTTACTTATCTTAGAAACAGTATTATAGAAGGGATAAGGGGACACTTTCTGTTGAGGGAAGAATCCCCAATAAAGACAAGAAGGATACAGTAGGGGACCCAAGGAAAAGAAGCACAGGGCAGATCATTTAGGTTTCCAGGCAAAAGAAGTCCTTGACAGTGCATGGACCAGTGCACAGGTTCTCAACCCAAAAAGCCAGACAGGAACCAAAGACTAATTTAGCCAGTCTTCCTTTAAAAGGTCAGAGCCGTCCGTGGTAGGTAACAAGATAACCTACTATAATTTGTAATCCTACTGATTTTTTCTACATAAATACAACTACAAATTCAGTTGTAAAGATGGCACTAATATTTATCTCTAAATCACAGTAATCAGAAAACCTGACGTAAAATTTACAGAAAAATGTTAACCTTTAATGATACCAACCATTAATTTCAAATATACTTATAACATTCAAAAATTAATACTTCACATTTTCATTATATAAAAGTTCTCTACCAGAGTTAATTGTAGAAAAGGCAAAAGATTCCTATTTTTTGCTTTCATTTATTAAAACAAATAAATTTACCATACCCCTTCTGCATACTGTAGCAACAGGCTTCCATTTAAAAAGTTTGGAATAAAAATAAAAAATAAAAAAAAATAAAAAATAAAAAAATAAAAAATAAAAAGTTTGTAATAACCAAGAGCACAATCCTGACATCCTTTCAACCTTGCTGAAATTCAGCTAAAATGAGATTCAATCTAGAACTACTGAAGGCTCAACAACTCATCTTCAAATGTTAAATACTTAAATATAACTGGAGTATTTAATTGCAGTTGTACTTTGATAAAGTTTCATACTCATGGTTCCAGAAATTCCATAGGGCTCATTTTTCATATATCATCATGTTCTATTTTTCTTTTAACTCTACAGTACTTTTCTAAATCTCTACCCTACCACCTCTAAATCTCCTTCCCTCATCCTATGGTAAACTGAGGTCATGAACACATAATAAATCTGACAATGCCATTACATCACAAAGTTCCTGTCTACCTCATAGAGGAGTTAAGCACTTACTTTTAAATATGAACATATTTTGAAAAGGTTAAAACCATCATTATAAACGTTTAGTAATCAGGCACAAATGACCACATATTGTAGGATTCCATTTAGATAAAATGTCCAGAATAGGCAAATTCAGAGACATAAAGTATATCAGTGGCTTCAAGGGGCTAGGAGAATGACATAGGATTTATTTTTGGAAAGACAAAATGCTCTGGGATTCTACTGTGGTGATGGTTACACAACCGTGTGAATACACTAAATGCCACTGAACTGCACACTTTAAATGAGTGGATTTATAGTATGTGAATTATATCTCAGTTTTAAAAGGGCTTAGTAAATCTCAGAAAACTACATAGGATTCCAACCATACAAAAAAAGGCAAAATGATGGGGACAGTAAAAAGATCAGTAGTTGTTAAGGTTTGGGGAGG